ATGCTCCTTCAGGTGTATACACAATTCACTTGCATACCAGCCATTTTAGTCAGTAAATGTTTCTGTCTGCATATGAATCCCAACTCTCATATACTCTGTCCTCACTTTCTACACTGCCTTTCAGGGTTTTTTTCAACCCTTTTGTCAGGTTTCCTACTTGAATTCCTTCGCTTTCCTGCTAACCACCTGGAATTTAAATAGAGTTTTCTGTAGCAGTCTCTAGCACAAATGATCTTTCACTCTCAATTTTAGAAGTGTGTGTGTGATTAGGTTAGAAAGATGCTTTTCCTAGAAAAAAAAAAAAGTATCAAGAGGTCATTAAGTCCTAGAAAGAGCTAGAAAAGAACAGTAATGGATAAATGATCTGTTTAAACTACATTTTAAAGTTATCAAATATTTTATTCCATCCCTTCAATCTAACCTGCACTTAACAAGCAGTGGCAAAAGCTGTTCCACTCATTTTTGAGAAAAATAAATGAGATGTCTGAATTAATTCCACAAATTAAGTTTTTTAAGCAGCCAAATGCACTAGAAATATGTAGGGGTGATTCCTCATTGTACTTTTTACAGGCATTAATACAAGTTGTGAGCAACAGTTCCTTTTGCAGAAGAACATAGATGAAAAAAAAATAGCTTTACATCACTATCAGATACATGAAAGTTTGGGGTAATTCACCCCCAAGCCCAGGGTGATTCAAACTTCTCAGCTGCCTGAAAAGCCATTCCCATTCCCCAACACTGGAATTCAAGGGTATATTTGCCATATAAAGTCTCTATGATACTTGAAGATTCATTGGGTGACTTTCAAATCTGATGGAGTTAAATTCAACAGCTTTACTACTGATTTATGCAACTGAAACAGGCCAAAGATCCTGCAGTAAGTTAAATTAACACCCTGTTTGATGTATTCAAAATCTATTTGGCAGATATTCTGCCAAACACAAAGCAATTGAGCTCATGTATTTGTAAGGGATTTTGCCTCTAGAGGGAAAAGTCTCAATTCAAGACCAGAAGTAGCAGGTGGATTGTGCCTGTACAGACAACCCCCCCCCCCGCCCCGCTCCTCCACGGTCTGGTAAAGTGGAGTCCTTCTCCAGTTCCTGTTCAAATGAGGGACCTGAGGTGATCACTGACTACATGAGCATTCATTCCTAAGCCCACTGAGGTGGAAGGAAATGCCATTCACCCGAATCTAACATAAAGTATATTCTACTATTTCATAAAACATTTTATTCTGAATCTCTTAGTCTTAAAATGAGCATTACAACTGTAAAATTAATTGCTTCACAATAATTCACCAGAAAATTAAATTTGGTCTAAAAATTGTAGTAGCAGGAAACAGTTTAAAATGAGCCTTAAATAATTAAACAATCAATTTATTCATGAATTAAATGCTGTATTACTTGAATGTTCAATTGGCCTAGCTTCAACTCATTTATTTAGAAATGAAAGTTCCATGAAGCGATAGGAAAAGATTTATTTAAGTTACGGTAGTTGCTGAAAGTTTTTTCAAAGTAATTATGTTTAGAGATAATATTTGTAAAGAGATTTCTGCACCAAGAGTATATAAATAGCAACATGACTTAAATTATTTTTGCTCAATTATGCTAATAGTCAAGTGTTTTTCTATATCCAAGTATTTTAATTACAGCTGGCATTTCTAAGCTGCCTATTGATGGCAAGTGCTGTGCAGAAATGTTACCATTTCTATTACTAGTCACATAAAAGCCATATAGGAGAAAACAAACCACAGTTTCTAACCTGTCTCACTTAAACTGCAAGACATGAACTCTATTGTTTCTCAAGTAGGCTTTCACATTTCTTTTCTGACAATTACAGTATTAACACACTTCACAAGTGTCCTGGGTTCAGCTGTATCAGTCCTTTTTCTTCTAGTAGCTGATTCAGTGCTGTGTTTCGGCTTTAGTCTAAGAATATTGCTGATAACACACCCATGGTTTAGTTGCTGCCGAGCAGTGCTCACTCTGATCAAGGACTTTTCAGCTCTGCCAGTGAGGAGGCGCACAAGAAGCCAGGAGGGAGCAGAGGCAGCACACCTGACCCAAACTAACCAAAGGGGTATTCCATACACAGCACATCATGCCCAGTATCTAAACTGGGGGGAGTCACCCAGAAGGGCACATCACTGCTCGGTTCAAGCTGGGTACTGGTCAGCAGGTGGTGAACAATTGAGTTGTGCATCACTCGTTTGTTTTTTTCTTTGAGTTTTACTCTCTCTCTGTTATTTCTCTTTTCATTAGTATTAGTACTATATTGTACTTATTTTAATTGCTAAATTGTTTTTATCTTACCACACAGGTTTTTACCCTTTTTCCGATTCTCCTCCCCATCTCACTGGGGAGGTGTGTTTGTGAGCAAGCAGCTGCATGGCACTTAGTTGCCAGCTGGGCTTAAACCACAACAGTAAGTCAAAGAGGAAACTTTTTCTCCTTCTCATACAGCAAGTCAAAATTAAAAATGTGCCTTTTCAGTAAAATGGACACTTCCTACAGATGGCTCAGAAAAGTCAAATGTAATTAAGACATTTTAAGAACCATGCTCCACATTGTCCTCAAAAAGTTTAATTCTTCACTTAAGGAAAAACACATAAGCCAAAACTGTCAGCATTAGTAAACAAACAAACCAACACAACCAACAAAACAAACAAAATCCTCAAAGATGTTCATATTCTTTACATCAGTCTGAACTCATACTATATTAATAACACAATAGTGCAATAAAACTGAAGTGACCTTTTTTTAATTGACAGCATCTCTTATGCCCACTAAAACCAGACAGACGTTCCAGTGAATACATACTGAAATACTGCACATAGTTTTCCTGTTTTGTCAGAGAGTAGAACAACTTTGAACTTCACCTCTGATCTTGCTCCTGAAGAAGACCTTAATTTTCTAAAGTGAAACTCAGTCATAACCAGATCATTGAATAAGAAGATCTAGCATATATACACACTAATGTATAAATCAAATAATTCAATACTAATCTAATAATCAGAAAGCCTAACTGATTTCCTATGTTCAAATTTCAAAGCCTCACTAGGAAGCAGAGACTGTCTTTTCAGGCTATTCTGAGTCTTAGCGTTGAGAAGCCGTCACCAGAATTTGCCAGCCAGTGACACCTGATAGCTCCAATTATGCACACAGTGGATACAAAATCAGCACTAGTACACCACATATGTACATCTTGGCATACTACCACATAACTATTTCTAACTTAGAGCCTAACCATTAACTAAGAGCCTAGCTATTAACTAACTTGAAGCCCTTCACAAAGTGATGCAGCTGTTTTAGCTGAGTACCGCTGTTACCAGCTGCTCACTCCCCATGCAAGTCGCCTGTGGTGTTACCCCCCGACTCAGGCATGAGGCTTCTTTGGAAGAAGAAAAACCCTTCTCCTCAACACTCATTTATCCTTTTTGAGGAAAAAAAGAGATTACTTAGATAATCCTTTAGCTTTCCTGTATCCATCCCCACCTTCACATGTGGAAAGAAAGTTTTATTCCACTGGTGCACATGGTGTGCGTGGATGGAAAGAGAAGTAGTAGGGGTGAAACAGAACCCACGGGATGAAAGCTGGATGTTAGAGGGCACAGCTCCTGTGTTATGGAACAGTAACAGAGACGTAACAGGCTGCAAAGAGGGTCACACATGCAGTGACAAATACACCTGCTTTTGTAGAACACTGTAAATAAATGCATGAGGGCAGGGACAAAGCACAGGCAGGGAGTGAACTCGGTAAAACCTACAGAACTCACACCCGATGCTCCAGGCAGGGCCGGGACGGGAAAGCAGCGAGGTTCCGGAGCTGCCACCAGTGCCAGGCCCCGCGAGAAAGGGGCAGCCCGCCGCTCCCCCCCGCCGTCCCGGTCCCTGCCCGAGCTCCGTGTGTCGCCGGCCCGGGACGCTACCTGCGGGCAGCAGGCCGAGCAACAGCAGCAGCAGCAGGAGGAAGCGGCGGGCCGGGAGGCGGCCGGCGGTAGCAGCGGTTTGCCGTCTGCAGCTCCGCGCCCTTCCCCGCTCTGCACACCGCATCGCCAGAGCCCACAGCGCCTCCTCAGACGGCGCTGCAGCCGTTACCTCTCGCAACGGCCCCGGGACCGACGCGGGCGGTGCGAGCCGCGGGAGGGGAGATGGCGGCCCCGCTGCTTCTGGGCTGTTCTGCCAGAGGCGGGCTTCCCCTGCTGCAGTGCCAGGCTCCTTGGCGGCATCTCTGGCGAAAGACAGGAGGAAGGAGTAGGCTTTCACATCCGCAAACCCTTAATCGTCCGGCCGCCGGGTTAAACGTAATTAACCCCAATTTATTAAGGCACCCGCTCTACAGGGGCAGCTCCTGGTGGAACAGCCGGGGTATGGAAGTGCGGCCTGCGCCTGTGGCCGGCCCGAGGTATGGAAAGCCGGCCTTACGGTCAGTGCGTTGTTCCCAAAACCAGTAGGGAGCGAGGAAGTTCTCATAGCAAAACCAAAGGACTAGGCTGATCTAGTCAAAAAAGCGAGCACTGACAGTTGTGCTGCTCGGTCTTCGTTGTGCTGCTACATAAAGGCAGTTAAGAAAGTGTTGGTATACCAGGAGATTTGCATGTTTCCATGGCATCAGATTAATTTGCTTTTGGTAGAGAAAAGGTCTTTTGAAAGAATGGGCAGGAGAGGGGATGAGTTATCTGGGAAGTGGATGAAGTCTGGCAGGAAAAAAAAATCACAGTGTGGAAGATTCAGTATGATGTTACTGTGCCAGAGAACCAAAAACACTGTTCTGCAGGAATCCTGAAGCAAAGTAAAAGGTGGACATCTAGTAGAGAGGGCTAGCTTAGACACATAACTAGCTCATCCATGTGCTTCTTTAAAACACTTGAAAACTGACAGAAATTATTCAGCCCTACATGTCAGATTACTTCCCAGGATGACCTGGACAGAATCTCTGACACCAAAATCCAAAATAAAGCTTTAATTGTATTTCGCTCTGCAAAATGAATGCAAAAAGCCATGAGCCATCCTTGCAATGTCTTCCATCCTGTGCCTTACCTCGGTCCTGTGTCTTCACCTCTCCTGCCATCTCTGTCTAAAGCTTTCCAGGAGAAGGTAAGCAGTGGGGGAAGAGGTCAGTTTGCAGCACTGAATGTTATTCTAGTGTGAAGCTGAATGTTTTTGATGTGGAGATAACTGAGAGTCAGTAAATACAGACACGAGTATGGCGTCTCAAAGTCTTGTTACTGGCAGAAGTCAAATCTTGGATGTATCTTTTCACTAACTTCAGTGTGAGTGCAATAGGAAGTGGACACGAGATGTGTCAGGCAAAGAGTTCTGTGTTTTCATAGTATTGGCTTAGTCTTATAGTACTAGTACTGTGTTTACAATGTTCTCAGCTGTCACTTCTTACCCATTTTAGTTCTTGTGACCTATGTAAGAAAGATGTCTTAATAAAGAAGGAAGTTGTTTTTTTTTCCTGCTACATCAGCAAACTTATGCAAAAAACCCACACCACGATTCTGCATTACAGAACAAAGCTTTTTATTACTATAAACCTGTATTGTAATAAGTGTTACAGATTAACAGGAAATCACATCTGATTTCCTGTTAATCTAGAGCAAGTTAGGAATTCAGTGAAGTTGCATCTGTGTGAGACTAACATAACAATGATCAGGCTCTATGCCTTAATTTTTTTCTGACAAGGCCACAAAACAAAGTGAATTGAGATGTCCAAATAAAAGTAGTTTGGTTTTTCTGAAGTGCCAGGCCTTTGCAGATGGCACTGAAATTTGCAGAAAGGGCCTCTATAAATCAGACTGGTTTTATTTACATTGCTAAATGAACACCATCAAGTTTGGGATTAGGAGATGAGTGCTGCATATTCTGAGCTGAGGTGGATTTGGCAATGGATTTGCCAACCTGATAGAACAAATGGCAAAACTCTGGAGATAATTAAGCTGCATGGAAAACTCTGATGTATGATTTACTTATTCCAAATGATAATTGTAAATTTTCCAGATTTGCATTTGTTTGCAGTTGTATTTGTTAAATTTTGTTCCTGTTAAATCTGTGTTTCAATTTAATTCATGTTTGTGATCTAGATACCAACAGAATACTTAAATAAAAACACCATATAATTCTTAGTAAGACTGAAAACATCTTCATTTTCTCTCTACTAGATGAATACGTAATTTGTAGTGCCATTTCAAGTTGCTGTGTGTGTCCCCTCGAAGGACTAGATTACTGTGGTATGCATGAAGCATGTTTCACACAAGGAGATATTTCATTGTGAGGTGGTTTCCATTGTTGCCAAGAAGAAAAGTAGCCCAAACCTCTCTGCTCACTCATAGAATCATAGAATAATTAGGGTTGGAAAGGACCTGAAGATCATCTAGTTCCAACCCCCCTGCTGTGGGCAGGGACAACTTACGCGAAATCATATTACCCAAGGCTTCGTCCAACCTGGTCTTGAGCACTGCCAGGGATGGAACATTCACAACCTCCCTGGGCAACCCATTCCAGTGCCTCAGCACCCTAACAGGAAAGAATTTCCTCCTTATACCTAATCTAAACTTCCCCTGTTTAAGTTTGAACCCATTACCCCTTGTCCTATCACTACAGTCTCTAATGAAGAATCCCTCCCCAGCATCCCTACAGGCCCCCTTCAGATACTGGAAGGCTGCTAGGAGGTCTCCACGCAGCCTTCTCTTCTCCAGGCTGAACAGCCCCAACTTCCTCAGCCTGTCTTCATACGGGAGGTGCTCCAGTCCCCTGATCATCCTCGTGGCCCTTCTCTGGACTTGTTCCAACAGTTCCATGTCGTTTTTATGTCAAGGACTCAATGGCTCCGGTCTTTTGTACTGTATTTGATAAATCTCTTTTCAGGAGAGAATTCACTATTTAAACCGCTGCCTTGATCTTCATTTTTTTCTATGCACTGATGTTCTGCAGGATGAAATCTCTTTTTACTGTTGTTTGCTGGCTAGGACTTGAGGAACGTGGAGAAACAGGAGCAAGCAGACTCTTAAGTTTACTACCACCTAAGGACAATAGAAGAGAATGACAGTGGCTTCCCTTGGAGCTGAAAGGAAGGCATGTAAGTGCTTTTAAAAAGTCCACCTTGTCAGTTGAACCAGCTCACAAGATGGACCACCAGCAGTATCTAAGCGTCTTAGAGATGTGCTTGCCTGTTGTGAGAGGTCCCGAGAACAGACATGGCTTTGCCAGCTTTGAAGAGAAAAACATCAATTCTTTCCTAAAGTTCAATCCACTCACCCCTCCAATAGGGATGATGTGTCTTTAGTAGATCTCTGCTCAGATTAGACCAACTCCAGTGATTTTCACAGCTCATTACAGCTAGAACAAAATTTTACGGGAATTCAGGCAACATACTTAAAGATGAGGGAAGCCATTTCTTAGAACATGGTAAAGAAATGTAAATAAGCTCCTTGTTCCATTTTACTAAACAGCTAACACTCACTTCACGGTTAGGTATACTTTGGCCTCATTATTGTCACCACAATGTGTCTACATGCCATAAATTCAGGCAGTGGTTTTGGTTCCTTGTTTCTGCCTTTGAACTTTGCATTTTAAATCACTTTAAGCTTACTGCAGTCATATAACAGAACCCAAAAGAGCCCAAGTAACCACAAGGGATCAAAAACTTTACAATTTTCCCTTTTTCCCCCTTCTTGCTCATTCTGTATTATTTTCACTCAGTATTTCTCAATTATTGTGTTCTCCACGTACATATAAAATTAGATTCAAGCAGAACTGATCAGCTGAGTTTTTTCTGCAAGCCTCTGGAAAAGTGAAAGGGAAAGAAGAATTGAGATATGCAGTTCTATCTGACCACTAATTTTTCCAATGTAGAGAAAAGCAGAGATAGAGATATTCTGGCAGAGATACACATGAAAAGAACACAAACAATATCTGAAATAGAATGTCATCAAGTCAGTAACCTGAGTTACAGTTAAGAAAGTGGTCTGAAATGGAGAGTAGTTCCACAAGCTAGACAGAAACTGTCCAGCAGATTTCTGGTGATATTTTATTGGGTAAAGTTTGCTGTTAGAGTGAAATACTGACTCTGCTGAAGCTGTCAGATGAGTCAAACTCAACTCAAAGGGCAAACCTTGAAACCTATAGTCCAGCATAAATTTATTTAAGAAAGCTGTGTAAATGTTCTTCCAAACCTAGTGGAAGAAAATTTACAAGTTTTCCTGTGATGCTGAGGTATTAACTGCAAATGTGTAAATAGAGATATAAAAAGTAGTTGAGTTTTAAGCTACTATTTTTAATGAGACTGCATAAACAAATGCCAGATTTCAGCTATATGATTCAGAGCCCAACTACCAAGCCCCCCAGGCATGTGATGTGTGCTAATCTTTCTAGATATCAGTCCGAAGACATTCCACAGCTAAGTTGTTTGGGGAAGTTGTGCTGAAAATGAGATCACTCAGGCATTTTGCAAGCAAATTCTACAGTCACTTTCTCCACTGTGTCGCGGATGAATGGAAAATATAACAAAAAGAAAAGCAGAGATAGAAGCAGCCTTTGACATGGATGAGCAGAGGTATTACAAACATCTGCAGTAGACAGGAGGTTCTCTGTTGTGAGAAGATGTAGTGCTATGGCTTGGGCAGTCAACAATGTTCTTTTGAGCTTCCCCATCAGTCTTTTGCATCTACTGAGTGGAGCAAGTTTATTGAACAGTGAGAATCTGTGATAACAAACCAGAGAAACTGAAAAAGAAGGTTGTTCTAAGACTGGAGCATCAGAGCCTGCCAGGGAAGGGAGATAGCTGAAGTGCTATTCTTCATGTATTCTTGCTTGGTGTAGTGAAGGTGCTCAGTGCTAGAAAACAAGGCCTTTAGGAAGTTGGCAGTGTTTGCCTGTAGAATTCTCTCACTCAGAATTTGACTGTGCAGGTACATTTGTACCTGGAAACCTGGTGACAAGGCCCTCATATCCAGTTTGTAGTTATTATTCTATTCTGTATGACTTAGCACAGAGATGGGCATGGGGATTGCAGAAAGAACCAGTGTATTTGATAAGTCTAATGAGGAGCAGAGGTGACTCCTTGCCCCTGCTGGAAGCTAACACATCTGGTTTCTCTGAAAACTGGGAAATGGGAAACACTATAGAGTTTACCTCTGGACTTGATGGTAACCCTTTTCTAAAAGTAATAAGCAGTTAACTCATGCTGCTAGTAGAGTGGCCATATTTGGAAAATAAAAAAGCCCAACTAGTCCAGTGTTCCATCCAAGAATATGTGAATAATTCACATCCAAGACTGTGAATAATTAACATAAAATGTCATCATACTTCTGCTGCATATTTTCATATCATGTGATGATTTGTTGACCAGGGATTCATGACAAGGAGCTGGTGTGTTTGTAGTCATGGATTCACAGATTTGCCTTCATGAACATATCCATTCACTTTTTGAACCCATTACTCAACTTTCAACACCCCAGGTAATTTGTGAATATGTTAAGCAACAAAGTTCTAAGCCCAGATGGGTTACCTCCAGGTCTCTTCACCAGTGATCTCCATCTATCTGGAGAATTGATCAATTACCCCTTTCCCTCCTTCTCTGATGTTCTTATCAGATATTTATCCATGTGAAGATCTTATCTTTGTTCCATTGTTACTTCAAGAGGCTCTGTTGAAGAATTTTATGCAGAACTAGTTGAAATAATTATGGTTGCATTATACTAATCATCCAATAGCCTTTGTATAGGAAGAGTTCCTTTCTCAGTGCTTCCTGTCCTGAAGCAAGAAGCATTTTATCCAGGGTAATCATTACTTTGGACAAGTAGTCATCCAGGAGTAGTCCAGGATTAAGCAGCACATGGAGTGTGAGGCATATCAAGGTAAGACTTGACAACTGGAAAAAGGGAAATATAAACCCCATTTTCAAGCGGGGGAAAATGGATGGCCCGGGGAATTACAGACCAGTCAGTCTCACCTCTGTGCCTGGCAAAATCTTGGAGCAGATTCTCCTGGAAGGCATGTTAAGGCACATGAAAAACAACAAGGTGCTTGGTGACAGCCAGCATGGCTTCAGTAAGGGGAAATCCTGCCTGGTGGCCTTCTATGATGGGGCTACAGAACTGATGGACAGGGGTAGAGCAGCTGACATCATCTATCTGGACTTGTGCAAAGTGTTCGACACTGCCCACACGACATCCTTCTCTCTAATTTGGAGAGACATCAATTTGATGGATGGACCACTCGGTGGATAAAGAACTGTCTGGATGGCCGCACACAAAGAGTTGTGGTCAATGGCTCAAAGTCCAGCTGGAGACCAGTAACGAGTGGTGCCCCTCAGGGATTGGTGTTGGGACCAGCCTTGTTCAACATCTTTGTCGCTAACATGGACAGTGGGATTGAGTGCGCCCTCAGCAAGTTTGCTGATGACACCAAGCTCTGTGGTTCAGTTGATACCCTGGAGGGAAAGAATGCCATCCAGAGGGACCTTGACATGCTTGTGAGGTCGGCTGATGCCAACCTTATGAAGTTTAACCATGCCAAGTGCAAGGTCCTATACCTGGGTCGGAGCAATCCCAAGCGCAGCTACAGGCTGGGCAGAGATGAGATTCAGAGCAGCCCTGCGGAGAAGGACGTGCGGGTGTTGATTGATGAGAAAATGAACATGAGCAGGCAGTGTGTGCTTGCAGCCCAGAAAGCCAACCGTATCCTGGGCTGCATCAAAAGGAGCATGACCAGCAGGTCGAAGGAGGTGATCCTGCCCCTCTACTCTGCTCTTGTGAGACCTCACCTGGAGTATTGTGTGCAGTTCTGGTGTTCTCAACATCAAAAGGACATGGAGCTGTTGGAACAAGTCCAGAGGAGGGCCAGGAGGATGATCAGGGGACTGGAGCACCTCCCGTATGAAGACAGGCTGAGGAAGTTGGGGCTGTTCAGCCTGGAGAAGAGGCGGCTGCGTAGAGACCTCCTAGCAGCCTTCCAGTATCTGAAGGGGGCCTATAGGGGTGCTGGGGAGGGACTCTTCTGTAGTGATAGGACAAGGGGTAACGGGCTCAAACTTAAACAGGGGAAGCTTAGATTGGATATAAGGAAGAAATTATTTCCTGTTAGGGTGATGAGGCACTGGAATGGGTTGCCCAGGGAGGTTGTGACTGCTCCATCCCTGGCGGTGTTCAAGGACAGGTTGGACGAAGCCTTGGGTGGCATGGTTTAGTGTGAGGTGTCCCTGCCCATGGCAGGGGGGTTGGAACTAGATGATCTTAAGGTTCTTTCCAACCCTAACTATTCTATGATTCTATTCCAGCCTGTCCTACCTTTTAAATAATGCTAGAAAATGACTGCATCCGATGCTGGTGTTTGTAACACAGATACTTAGTAGTGAGATAAAACCTTTCGCTTACCTGCAGAAGGAGATAAAAGTTAGAGGCAAAAACATGCAAAGCAAAGAGCAAAAAATGTGCAACTTGAAAAACGTCAACAATTCAAGGACACTCATAACTCTTATGGCATAGGAACAATCAACTAAGAATGAAAAATGGCCTACAGTAGGCTTGAGAATATCTGTGCTATTAAATAATTGCCCATAACACAATTAATTGTGTAATACTACGCTGCCTAATAAGCTAGTAGGTCATCTGGAAATAATGCAGAAAAACTCAGAATAATCTGTGGAGGGCTGAATGCCATCAAATAAAGCATCTCTGGTTTTGCTCTGGATTTGATTATTTATCATCCCTGCAGTTATATATTTCACTGTGTATTTGTTTGTTTCACTTGCCCAAAAGCAGAGTGACACTTTGTTTTTTCAAAGACTTTCTTCTTTTTGTTTTGCTTCTTTTGTTGTGCATGTCTTACATATCTTTCCAATATAAACTGATGAGGTTTATGCTTATTTATAGTTAGTTTTCAGGGGATGATTTGTAGCCTTTTTTTTTCAAAGTGATAAAAGAGAAAGTAATGTGTTATATTTATTTTCCATATATAAAGAAAAGTGGATTAGTTAACCAAAGAACTAACCAAAAAATTCTGCGACAGTTATCTGTAAATCTCTCATTTGGCATTATTGTCTCTTGCTGGGCCCACTGAAATCAATACTCCTCCTAATTTTAAAATATAAGAGGTCAAAAACAGTGCACAGTTTTTGAATGACAGTGAGATGCAGTGAAGCTTGTAAGACTGCTGAGGAATCAGGTGATCCTTCTACAAGATGGAGAACAAAAAAGCAAGGGACTATTTCTACAGATCAAATACTAAAAGTGAGTTTCTTTTAAAAACAGGTTTTGCTTGTGCTTTGCTTCATTTTTTTCATCTTCTTTTTGCTAATATGCACCTTTAGGCAGCAGGACATACAAGACTCAGAACTTGTGGTATTTTATCAGCATTTAGCATAGGATTCATCTCATGAATATTAGTTACCTAAAAGCTTGCATCCAGTCTGTGCCTTTCATCTGTACTTTATCTATAGGCAGTGAAGAGAAACTGGGGTTTCCAAAAGGGCATTCTGTACATCTGTCTTCAACGCCTGACACGGGCATGATATGACTCGTGTCTAATCTCTATTTATGTCTTGTCTCACTTAACCAATTATTCAAATTTAGACAAAATGAGTCCCATCATCATTGTAAGCTTATTGGCAGATAAGCTGCCTCTTTCAATTAGTGAGACAGTTTTAAAGAAGATAAGTCTGTGAAACTGTACCATAACTACTTGTTCCCCAACAAGCAACATATAATTCCGGGCTTTTAATTTCCCCTTAAACTAGAAATGCACACCTTTGTTACTTTTTACATCCTTCTTTCTCACATAATTCATTATTATCTAGCTACCAGTGTCATTCAATAGTGATTATATGGGAACTTTTCTATCTTCTTTTTTATTGTTCATCTAGAGTTTATGAAGAAGTTCCTCGGGATGACATGATACCTCGCAAAATCCCACCTCCAGAATGAAAGTGGAAGTGTTGGCTGATCCTCTTTCCCAGAACAGAGATACAATCCTGAGCCCAAAACAAGCCGAGTCAGTGAACAATTTCTTGCCAACTGGTTTTGGGTTTTGCTAATGAAATTTAGCCTAAATTTTGTGTACATAAGACACAGCAATGTTTTCAAATAAAAACAGTCTCAAGTGAGCAATTAAGGTCATAGCACACTCCAGCAATTGCTTCAAATGATTTAATACTTTTTACCTCTTCTTCCCCTGTAAATTGGTACAGAAGATGTGCATGCACAGTACCAAAAGAGAGGACAAGGATGTTGGTGAAAAACTGGCTGACAGGAATGAATGATGCTGTACCATAACAAATCTCACATTAAGTTAGTTTGCTTGTGATTATTAACTGTAATGGTCATTATTTTTACTAAACTCAAACTCAGTCCTTCAATTGGTTCTGATTGCTGCATGAAAATCTATTAAGCCAAATTTATTAAGCAACGTTGCCTTACAAGAAGCATCTAATTATGATTTTAAGTCGTTGGAGGCTTCTGGGCCAGATTTCAAGCAAGATCTTTTGCCTCTCCACAGAGCCTGTTGATTCCTAATTTTCATGGTTTTGGGAATATCAGGGTCCTCTGAACACTTCCGATGAAGTCTGTGTAGAGTTGATTATTTCAATAGACTAAATTCAGCAACATTCTATAACTGGAGAAGTTAAGATATTCAATCAATAATGATTTGAAAGGTACACGCTAGCAAGCTTCTCCTGTGAGGGAGTTAGGTGTAAAAAATAGAACAGAGAAATTTGTGAAGTGAGTGTAGAGATTCCATACATCAGATGTTTTTATTAAGACATGTCATTTATGAAAATACCGTGGTAATCAAACACATGTACAAACTCAAGGTTTTATCTGCTGTCTGTAGAATATAAAGTAATCACCTGTCCATTGGTGTCTTTTCTTCACTCTGTATTTCACTTATTGTACCTCAGAGTGGAACATTTTAGATGAGCCCAGGAAAGGGTGACAGGAGTTTCAGAAGGGCTCAGGTAAGAGCCAAGTAGAGATGGAGAAAGAAAGGTTGGTCAAAGACAGATAGGAAGACTAGAGCCTCCTTTCCAGGCCATGAGTCATCAGGTTTGCTCAGGCAAACTTAATGGACAGGTGTGCTATGAGGCACAATCAGCCATACAGCCAGGTATCTCTGTAGCATGGAAGGGGGATAAAAAACTCTATTATGGTTTCTTGAATGTTACTCTTTCCAAGAAATACAGCTGTGGATAGTGAGAGCAGCTTGCAGGGACAGATCAAGAGAAAGTTAGACCTGACATTAAGTTTTCCTATATTCTCAAGAAATGAATGAAAGAAGTGTTACAAGTAGAGAAGCAGTTATTTTTCAAAGACTTGCTTATATTATGCTATCCTAGGAAATTGAATGAAGTCTCAGTATCTGAGGATGGAGAGTAAAAGACAAGATTCTGCCTGCTGAACTGAGTCATTTAGCATATATGCCAATCTAATAATTTACCATGGTATTTTACTCAATTCAAATGAGCATTGCATCATTCCATGAGCAAAACTTTGACTTGTCACCATCTGTCTTTTGAGACCTCATAAATATTCTGTCAGGGTAATTGATCTATTTTGTCTTTAACAGTGTAAGCTGAAGGCCTTGAATCTGTCATATCCCTTTGTATAGTAAGCACAATGGGTCATTTCTATATTTTTGATTAAGCCCAAGCAATCCATCTCTCATTTTCTGAAGCAAGAGTTGTAGCTGGACTATGTTATATAATCTTAAAATGTTTTCTGGTACCAAGGGAGAGTGTGTGCTGAGTCTCCTCTGCCTGCCGGTGACTCCAGCCTGTTACCTGTAAACTATAAATTAATATCCATTATGTCCTTTTTGGAAGAATATCCCAGTCTGACTATGGGCATAGCCAAAATAACAAGAGATTACATCTTATTTCTATCCTTCCCAAGACGCCTCTATGCACATATGTTCTAGAGCTGTCATTTGTTGTGTGCTGCAAGTTGAGCACATAATTGTCTTCATCCTGGGACATGCCAAGCACACAGGACAGTTCATCTCCATGTTTTTTCTTGTGGACCATTTTAATAAATAACTAGAACTTTGGAGCATGCATTGTGTGGTTCAGCTGCCTCCATCAGCTGTCTAATGAATAATGTACACGTCTTTGATTTCCTTTCTATCCAAACAGTGGCTGTTTGGAATTGAAATTTGAAATTCTGAAGACATTGTCAGTGCCAGTGTAGTCTTAATACCGCTTAGCCATGTGCAAGCTTCAAAGCCTCACTTCACAAGCACTGCAGAGTATCTTTCCTTATTAGCATGGTTTTGATACTACCTCTTGAATTTTTGTTACTAGGGAAGAGGGAAAATAGTTATCTGGTCTTGGATGAAAAGAACAAAAATATTGGAGGGAACGTTCCTTATTGTTTTTAATAACTTGAATGAGTTCTGTCAACACAGGAATCACAGTGACCTTTCAGATTCAAGGTTGAACTTGAAGAGTCCTTTCTAACAGCTGAATCAGTAGTAAATGACCTACAGTGGTAACTGTCTACCATGTAGGTCTGTGTAAATCTAAGTGACCATTCAGCCCAGATATACAAAGGAAGCTGATACAAAATGAGCAGACTACTGAGGTGGTGGTATAACATATTTTATCCATCTGCTTGTGTTATACTAAGCTTAAGTGCAACCTGTTTTGACCAAGTATGAGTTTGTTGTAGAACATTATGGCCTGATTCTTTATTGTGTTACATTAATGCTATAGTTTCAGGGAAATTAGGCTCCTAACACTGTGCATCACACTTGTAAACCAGAAATGTTGATTAGGGTTTCTTTTTTTTCTGTCCAGGAATTGCTCTGTGACCCAAGTGACCCTGACATCATCTAGTACAGAATGGTCATAATGGATTGACCATAACTGACTCTCAGCCCAAAAGCTACCCTTAGAGTGCCCACCCTGGGAGGTAAAAGTTGCCTGTGGTAAACACCGGTGCAATATACTCTCATGATATAATGAACTCTTCATTATCAGCAGCCTCTGACCTCGTCTGGGATGGAAATCAGAGCATCCCCTGCTTCCTGCTGTTAACCTTGCTAAACTGTTGCACAACCAAGTTTTAAGAACTTGGCAAGCACCTTTTCATTTTTCTGAATTGAGAAAGGTTGCATGTGAAGCTAGACTGAGCACATCTGCTAGATCATACCCCCAAATGCCTGACTTGTGGTTCCTAATAACGCTGAGACTAACACAGGCATTCCTGTAAATGCCCACCATCAGGAAATAGATTTGTGTTACATGCAAGGCTCAGGTGGGGAAGACATGGAAGAGAAGGGTCTGAGCTTAGCGTGAAACAGGAATTTCTGCTGATGCCATTCTGAAGAGTTCTTAATTCCAAAAAAAAAAAAGAAAAAGATGTGTATTTTCAAACTATGCCATACTTTCATACTTTAAATGCTTCTTGTTCTTTATTATTAATGAACAAGTCTGGTGGGTAGAAATTCACATGCTGTTTTTTTGATGGGTAGTACAATGAATATTGCCATATTAAAAATGTGTGATTTCTAACTTTAGTCACTAGATGGCCTTTGAGTTTGCAAAAGCTCCCTGAATACTATTAGGAGCACTTTTTTTTTTTTTTTTTTTTTTTAAGATTATTCACAAAGTTTGAGATTCAAAGGTTTTTGCTTTAATCTTTTCCTAAAGTTGTCTTTAGTAGCTTGAGCTGGTAATTAAGCGTTTATTTGCAAACTTTTGAGAAAGTAAAATGGTAAAAGTAATGACTTAATGGTAGGAACTAAAAATTATCAAAGAGGAAATATACTGGTCTTTTCACATAATTAGATTTTCTCTTTGCACAGGAGTTTCCTTTCTGTCCTTTCAGTGGTCTTGCACAGTCCGCATTTGTGAGGCAACTACAGAAGGGATACTTCACTGGGCAAAGCAGAGGGAGAGGAGCTGTAAAAATATTGCCCACTCTGTTCTGAAGAAAAAGCATAATTCTGGTCCTTACATAAGGCAGAGTATGTGCTAAACATTCCTAGTTGCTGGGAGCTGCCTTGGAAGTAGCTGAGATTTCTAAGCTCCATCTTAGATCTGTTCATTTCTGTTTCTTACATCAGTTTCAGGGAGAATAGACTTTGTAATGCATCACATGCTGTCACACACGTGTGGGGAACAGCGCATCATTCTTCACACAGCCTTGTTCATTACAGCAGAGGTTCACAGTCAAAGTAAGGTGCTGAGCGTTGTAAAATGCTCAAATTTAACCTATATTACTGCACCAAACCTGTTATTACTGAGTTTTTATGTACATAATGCACCATTCTGATTGTTTTATCTCACCTCCTGCACAAGTCATCTCATTTCTCACAGCCTTCATCTAACTTTTAACTTCTGCTTGAATTAGAACATAAAATAGTATAAAATGATTATTGAGAAAAATGCTTTAAAAATATAGCACACATAGCATACAGTATAGTGTTGAACAGAGATTTCTGAGTTGTAGGGAAGTTAGCAGAGCTATTAGTTCTGCCATGTCATACTGTTATTGCTGTAGAGCTTTGAACAATAGAAGCTGATGTATACGCTGTCTTGCAAACAGACAGACAGACATCTTGTCTGGAGCTATTTGCAATGTATGATATCATGGTAGATTTGTAAGTTCGAGCAACAGGTTCTGTGTTACTTTCTCTAGTACTCTCCATGTCATTTTCCTTTTTAGTTTTTTTTTTAGTGGATGAAGCTATGTATTTCACTGACTTCTGGCAACCAGGAGACCAAGATTTCTGAGACCTAAAAGATTCTGACATCTCCAAGTTGTGAAAAAGTCAATCCCATCTGAAAAGTTCTATTACATTTTCTATATTTATTCTTTGCCTGTGAGTGTTAGACACCAGGATTGCTATAATTTTAAGCAGAAGAAAGGAAGGATTCAGAAAGAATACATACAGTTGATCCCTAGAATTTTTGTTTTGTTTTGTATGTTTGCCAATAGTTCTGGAAAGATGTGTAAAGGTGTTGACTCTACTAGACTCCTACCAAAATCCTTGAGAAATGAGATACATGCTTTGGATTTAGAAGCATAAATATTCTCTGTAAGCCTGTAAGATGTAAAAATCTCTTTCTAAATAGTCACTTTCACTCTTTCATGGGCTAGCAGTTGCACTTCCTGCCTCTAGCACTTGGGCAACAGCACTGTCACTCGGGCATAACTCTGGAGTGAGACACTATTCTTCCCTGGACCATGCAAGAAAGTGGTTGCCATTCAAATTATTAGCAAAGCTGAAACTAGCTAAGAGTCATCTGTCATGTAGTTTTGCAGAGACAAACAGGAAGAGTGGTGAACCTGGGCATGGTTTGTATGTTACCCTTGTGCCCACCCTCTCTTCCTTTTGGCAGAACAGGAAACCATCTTCTGTTTTTCTTCTTTTTTTTCTTAAGGAATTAGAAAAAAGATAAAAGGCAGGACTTATGCTGCAGTTGAGCCTAAAAGCTCCTAGTATAAGATTAGCGTTGTGAAAAGCTGTTGTGACATACCTGACACTGTAATGCTCTGAAGTCCTTGCCATGCAATTTGGAAGTTTTACAGATGGAAATCCAGGTGCAGTGTAATTAAGTGATTTGGCAAATACCATTGGGAATCTATAGTACAGCCAGGAATCAGACTTCATGTATCCTGAGTCCTAGCCCATGCTTTATTTTTACCAAGCTCTGAGCTTTAAGCTATTGAAATGGTGCTTTGCTAAAACCTGGTTTTAAAAAATAATTATTAGCACAAGTGATGGCCGTAGCTCTTGAAAGTTCAGATGAGTCACAAGTGAAGAGTTAGAAATCTAAGCAATATTTTATTCAGTTTTTCCTCTGTGATTCAGACATGGAATAGCTGTGGGAACCTCCACCACATGTAAAAAGCCATGTCATAAGTGTTGTGATTCATCTAGAAGTTCTAAATTTATGAATCTCAACATATTAATCAAAACTATATGATCTGGTGGCAGTCTAGCATGATCAGTGGGAATTTCCTTAATGGAGCTGTGAAGCTGTTTTTTTCAGGTCAGACTGGAAGGTAGTTCAGTTCTTCTTCCAGGGTATCATTAAAGCCTGTGTTAGGGAAAGGGATCAATTGCATCATCTCTTGAGGTCTGTTCCAGCCCTGGAATGTAGCATTCTTAATATCCTTGGTTTGTATATGCATTCCTGGCTTTGATTTAAGATCAGTGGATAAAGACCTGGCTTCAGTGGATAAAGAACTGGCTAGATGGCCGCACACAAAGAGTTGTGGTCAATGGCTCAAAGTCCAGCTGGAGACCAGTAACGAGTGGTGCCCCTCAGGGATTGGTGTTGGGACCAGCCTTGTTCAACATCTTCATCGCTGACATGGACAGTGGGATTGAGTGCGCCCTCAGCAAGTTTGCCGATGACACCAAGCTCTGTGGTTCAGTTGATACGCTGGAGAGAAGGAATGCCATCCAGAGGGACCTTGACACGCTTGTGAGGTGGGCTGATGCCAACCTCATGAAGTTTAACCATGCCAAGTGCAAGGTCCTACCCCTGGATCAGAGCAATCCCAGGCACAGCTACAGGTTGGGCAGAGAAGAGATTCAGAGCTGCCCTACAGAGAAGGACATGGGGGTGTTGGTTGATGAGAAAATTAACATGGGCCGGCAGTGTGCACTTGCAGCCCAGAAAGCCAACCGTATCCTGGGCTGCATCAAAAGGAGCGTGACCAGCAGGTCGAAGGAGGTGATCCTGCCCCTCTACTCTGCTCTTGTGAGACCTCACCTGGAGTATTGTGTGCAGTTCTGGTGTCCTCAACATAAAAAGGACATGGAGCTGCTGGAACATGTCCAGAGAAGGGCCACGAGGATGATCAGGGGACTGGAGCACCTCCCATATGAAGACAGGCTGAGGAAGTTGGGGTTGTTCAGCCTGGAGAAGAGAAGGCTGCGTGGAGGTGGAGACCTCCTAGCAGCCTTCCAGTATCTGAAGGGGGCCTATAGGGATGCTGGAGAGGGACTCTTCATTAGAGACTGTAGTGATAGGACAAGGGGTAACGGGCTCAAACTTAAACAGGGGAAGTTTAGTTGGATATAAGGAGGAAATTCTTTCCTGTTAGGGTGCTGAGGCACTGGAATGGGTTGCCCAGGGAGGTTGTGAATGCTCCATCCCTGGCAGTGCTCAAGACCAGGTTGGACGAGGCCTTGGGTGATATGATTTAGCATAAGGTGTCCCTGCCCATGGCAGGGGGGTTGGAACTGGATGATCTTAAGGTCCTTTCCAACCCTAACTATTCTTTGAT